CCAGACAAAGCCGGGGCTGTAGCCGCAGGATCAAGGCAGCCGCCACAGCTGGGAAGGCCTACTCTTGCATGAATTTTGTGCATTAGGCCTCTAGTATTGTAATAACTTTGTATGGTGCCATATGGATACTAGACTTATTAGAGTGATCACGTTGCAAGGTATATAAATGCCTAATCACTATGTTGTGCACTCAAAACTAATATAATATTGTATGTCAACTGTAATCAATCAATCAATCAAAAAAAACACACTGGGATAAGATGGCCATTTACAAATCAAGAAAAGAGGCCTTCACAGCCCTCCGAAGGAACCAGCCCTGTGGACACTTGGATCTCAGATTTTTAGCTTCCAGAACTGTGAGGAAATAGATTGCTGTTGTTTAAGCCAAAAAAAGAAAAAAAGAAAAAAAAGAGAAAAAGTATTATTGGAAATGAAAGAAAAGTTACTAAATGTAAATATATATTTACATATAATTTCAATGATTGAATAACTTTGAATGACTGAAAAGATTTTTCATTTTTTATCACCCACTTCTTTGAATAGTTTTCTTGGATGGTGACCACCAGTTATTTTAAGAAATCAGTACTTAAAGATCTTGATCAGGAGGTGTTTAGCCGTTTTTCAAGCACAAATATAATATAATAATTATATTCACAGAAGCAAGCTCAAGTTTCTAATATGTATTAAATTTTATTTGGAAATTTTATGTGAAACCAGTATTTATTATTGTGTACTTTTAAATAAAATATTACTGCATTTTTATTTTCCTTGTAATTACATAGTAAAAGGGTGCAATAAAATTTTAATATGTATAATTTTATTTGTAATATTACAAAATTAAAGAAACCCCCAAAATGCAATATTCTAAAAAACCCCAAATTTACTATTGATACTAATTCCTATGTGTTCGCTGTGCTACCATACACAAGTCAAGAAATTAAAGAAACCATTAAATATATGAAACATTTAGTACTAGAAGCCTTAAAATCTAACCGTTGGTAGTAGCCCTTCAAAAAGCTACAAGTTGGCCAAGCCAGCATGGTTCAGTGGTTGAGCGTCGACCTATGAGCCAGGAGGTCATGGTTCCATTCTCCGTCAAGGGCACATGCCTGGAGTGTGGGCTTGATCCCCAATGTGGGGCAGGCAGGAGGCAGCTAATCAATGATTCTCTCTCATCATTGATGTTTCTATCTCTCTCTTCCTCCCTGAAATCAATAATAAAAAATATATTAAAAAAGCTACAACTTGTATTTCTTTTTACAACTTGCATTTTTAAAGCAGTATTTTCTCTACTAAAAATCTTATCAGCTATACAAAAATCGGTGTAGTTTTTATACTGAAGCTAATATTGAGCTGCATTTGAATTTACATTCTTAGCAGAATAATTGCCTGAGCACACACACACACTCCACACACATCATTACAGGATAGCCATTTATTCTTCACCTCCATCTTCCTCCTCCTCCTTCTCATCTTTTGGTTCTTTCTTTTTTGAGCCTGTTGGCCTGCCAGGAGTCTTTTTGTTGTTGTTGTTAATCCTCACCCAAGGATATTTTCCATTGAGTTTTTAAAAAATATTTTTATTGATTTTAGAGAGGAAGGGAGAGAGAGAGGGAGAGGGAGAGAGAGAGAGAGGAGAGAGAGAAAGAGAGAGAGAGAGAGAGAGAGAGAGAGAGAGAGAGAGAGAGAGAGAGAAATATCAATGATGAGAGAGAATCATTGATTAGCTGCCTCCTGTACGCTCCCTACTGGGGATCAAGCCCACAACCCAGGCATGTGCCCTTGACTGGAATAGAACCTGGGACCCTTCAGTCCACAGGCTACTCTATCCACTGAGCCCAACCAGCCAGGGCCAGGACTCTTTTTTCCTTCCCCTCACTTGTGCCCCTGGCACAGTATGTGGCAATATCCTTTTCGTATTTCTCCTTTAGCTTAGCTGCTTTCTGTTCATGTGGCTGCTTAGCTTTGGCTGCCTGTTCAGACCACATTTCACCAGTTTTTTTGGCGGTATCCCCCATGGACGATGTTCAGAGCAAAACAGAAAGAAACAGATGGAGGCCTTTTAGGAGCATTGGGGTATTTTTCTTTCCTTTCTTATACCTTGCGGGGGGGGCAGGTATTTTTCTTTCCTTTCTTATACCTTGCGGGGAGGGGGGCAATTTTTTTTAAAAAAATATGTTTTTATTGATTTCAGAGAAGAAGGGAGAGGGAGAGAGAGATAGAAACATCAATAATGACAGAGAATCATTGATCAGCTGCCTCCTGCACACCACCTACTGGGGATCAAGCCGGCATCCCCGGCATGTCCCCTTGACTAGAATCGAACCTGGGACCCTTCAGTCCACAGGCCGATGCTCTATCCACTGAGCCAAACCAGCTAGGGTGGGAACATACTTTTAAAAATCTCCATCACAGTGAATTTCTCACTTTTTGCCATATCTTCAAGCTTTGACTTTCCCTTTGCAGACACAGTCTTCCATCTCTCTGAACATTTCGTGGAGAATTCGGCAAAATTGACAAAACAGTCTGGGTGTTTTTATGCTCTTCCCCGCAGGTCGCACGAAGAAGGCGTAAGAGGGCATCTTTCCCCTTCAGCTTGTTGGCCTCCTGTGCCCATGGCGACAGTCCTCGTGGTGGCTCTTCCTTAGTCCCGCTGTGCAGCCAGATCCGACAGGGACACTTCCTTCGCCTGACCCCCCTCCCGCCTCCCACCAAGCTCTACCACATGCCTTCAGTTTACCCTGGCGTGCCATTCAAGCATTAGCCCTTCCTACCTGTGCCCCGTGTGAGGAAGGCTGGAAGTACTGCACTGAGCCTCTGCTTCCAGGTAGCCTTCCTGGGACACCGCCAAACTGTTATCAATGATTGCCTCCCAATGCGTGTTTACACATCTCTATAATTGCTCTCATTCTATGTTTCTGCTGGTTTGTTTTTTGTCCACTCCATTCTCCCCACTACCCGCTTCCCCATTAGATTAGGAGTCACATGAGGGCAAGGAACTTATCCATTTTTTTTTTCCTGGATATCAGTAATGCTGTAAGCTCTGGGCTCCTTGACTCTGTGTCTGCGTGAGGATGTTCTCTGGCCCCAAGTTCCCTAGAGCTGGTCTCTCTAAGCAGGGTCTAGGCCAGCCGTGGGCAAACTACGGCCGGCAGGCCGGATCCGGCCCATTTGAAATGAATAAAACTAAAAAAAAAAGACTGTACCCTTGTATGTAGTGATGTTTACTTTGAATTTATATTAGTTCACACAAACACTCCATCCATGCTTTTGTTCCG